CTACCTGACTCGGGTGTCAGCGCCGCAGGCCAAGGTAGATGTATGCCAGGCGCGTCGCAGCGTAACAGTGTTTCGTGAGGTATCGCGAAGCCTGTTACGCGAGACGTGGTCTGGCGTACATCTACCTTGTAGAAGTATATTACAATATTTTAGGTACTATGGAAGCTACAAGTTCTAGTGTTACACTCCGAGTGTTCACAATAGGGTGTTCCAGGCTATCTAAAACGGAAGTGAAAAAGAACAAACTCACTGACTTTTCTATTTCCGTAATGGCTCTGATTGGTCGTCCTGATCACGTGCCACTTCGGCCTTTCTTGTATGGAAAACTGCCAGATCAGTTTCGAGCTCCCCTCCATATTTGAGAGGTTAGAATCGGATCAAACTACCGTAGTAATTTCTCATACTGAACATGCGGAAACAGATAAGTCCAGTGAGTTTGTTCTTTTTCACTTCCGTTTTAGATGGCCTGGAACACCCTATTGCTTAAGATTGCTGGGTGGAAAGATCTGTAAACGAACTGTAGTCGGAACTTCGGCTATGGTATTGAGTGCAGATCTTTAGATCGGGTTAACATAGGTTGACTATACTTAATTCCTTACATCAGTTGACCAGTTGACCTCAGTTTTAAATCTGTTTCTTAGTGTTAAAACGATTTAGTTGATGAAAACTTAGGTGTTGTGTAAAAGCAGGGGGCCGAGTAGGAAAAACATTTTGGAAAAGTTTCTACCCAAAATTTAGTAAAAACGGTATTGGAATATAGTGCATGAGGAAGTGCGGAGACAAGAAAAATGCTATTAGGAAAACTGGATTAGGAATTTTGTACGGGAATACCAGCAACGACTTAACCAAGGTTCGGAAAGTTAACCAAAAAAGTTCAATCGTTAAGTTAAAGTTAAATTGGCAAAACATATTAATGGTTAAGTTGAAACGTTAACTTTTCAGAAAAAGTAACTGTTAAGTTAACGTTAACGTTAACGAAAGTTAACGCAACTTTTTCGTTACATTTTGGTATCTAAAAGCTCTAATTTTCACTGTACGTTTTCACAAAAATACAGTCAATTTTCATTTTTCTTCATCGTTTGATCTTTCTTAAAATTCTTGTCTAATTTTTGGACGTCCTATACGTAAGCTGTTACGCGACCACTATCACCACCCCTCAGGCGTACATATAGCTAGTTATCCATCGGCCAATTATTGTGACAATAACGAAAATCCAAAAGTGGTGGCTTTTCCATAGTCAGACGATTGTCGCTGGTCTATCAAATTTAAACCATCTACAATTCTGTTGTTGGCTGAGCGATTAGCGAAGCCCATTACTCCACTGACCGAAAAAGTTTCATTCTGTTTGTCTGTCTGTCTGTCCGCACGATAACTCGAGAGAGCGATCTTGGAATTCCAGGGTCGTTTTGTATCATAAAAAGACAGATCGAGTTCGAAGATGAGCATTCTAGCTCAAAAATTGACTTTATAAAAAAACAAAAACCAAAGGATGCAATACATTTACTTTTTTCAAAAAAATTTTATGGGCTTATAGGAGGTAACTCGTGAAAGTAGAACCCTTCGGGCGAAAATTTCGTCCGTTTTGCTCTATCTTATACCGTTTTGGCGCTATAGGTCATTTCTTGGCGAAAACAACGTGAAAACGACAAAATGGTCTATTAAATCGTAAAACAGGCTTCATGTCACAGAATTGTTGGCTGAGCGATTAGCGAAGCCTATTACTCCGTCTGGTCGGAAAAAACTTTTTCTGTCTGTGTGTCTGTCTGT